GGCCTGATTATATCACAAGAATGTCCCTCCTACCATCCTGCTGTGGTTCCCCCTTTATGTTTGCAGTTGAAGAAGATCTTTTTTGCTAGATTCCAGTCTTTTTTTCTGATGGTTGTTTAGCAGTTGTGGTTTTGTTGTAGTCACAAGGAGAGGCGAGCTCATCATCCTACTTGCCATCTTGACTGGAAAAAGTCCTGGTTCAGTTTCATTACTGGTAATTGATCTGTTCATATTTTCTATTTCTTTTTGGTTCAGTCTTGGGAGATTGTTCATTTCTAGGAATTTGTCCTTTTTTCCCTAGCTTCTCCATATTATTGGCATATAGTTGCTCATACTAATCTCTTAAGATCCTTTGTATTTTTTGATGTCTGTTGTAACTTCTTTTTCATGTCTGGTTTTATTCATTTGGGCCCTCTTTTTCTTGATTAATTTGGCTAACAGTTTATCAGTTTTCATCTTTTCAAAGAACCAAGTCTTGGTTTCATTGATCTTTTTTGTGTATTTTTTTTGTCTGTATTCAATTTATTTCTGCTCTGATCTTTATGGTTTCTTTCCTTTTACTAACTTTGGGTTTTGTTTGTTCTTTTTCTTGTTCCTTTAGGTGCTCCTTTGTGTACACACACACACACACACAATTGTTGTATCTTCTTTTTGGCTTGATCCCTAGATCATTATGTAATGTCCATCTTTGACTCTTGTGACTATCTTTGTTTTAAAGTCTATTTTGTATAAGTATTGCTACCCTGGCTTTCTTTTAATTTCCATTTGCATGGAATAACTTTTCCCGTACCCTCTCTTACAGTATGTGTGTCTCTTTAGATCTAAAGTGAGTCTTTTGTAGGTAACATATATAGGGTCTTGTTTTTGTATCCATTTAGCCACTCTCTTTCTTTTGATGGAGTCCATTTTCCTTTAAAGTAATTACTGAAAGGTATATACTTACTACCATTTTGTTAATGTTTTCTGGTTAGTGTTATAGTTCTTCTTTATTTCTTTCCTCTTTTTTTCTGTCCCTTGTGATTTGATGACAGGGATTGGATTTATTTCTCTTTTCTGTATGTTTACCTATTACAGATTTTTGATTTGTCATTACCATGAGGTTTATATATAGCAGTATACATATATATATATATATATATACACACACACACACATACACACACGATTATTTTATGTTGGTTATCTCTTAATTTCAGATGCATTTTAAGAACCCTGAATTTTTACTCCTCTCTCCTCACAATTACTGGTTTTGACATCATATTTTACATCTATTTGTTTTGTGTTTCCCTTAACAGCTTATTGTGGCTAAAGATAATTTTACTACTTATGTCTTTTAACCTTCCTACTAATTTTGTATGTAGTTGATTTACTAACTTGACTATATATTTGCCTTTACTGATAAGCTTTTTTCTTTCATAGTTTTCATGTTCCTAGTTATGGCCTTTTCTTTTTTGCCTTGAGAAATACCTTTAATGTTTCCTGTAAATCTTGTTTGGTGGTGCTGAACTCTTTTAGCTTTTGCTTGTCTGTAAAACTTTTGATCTCTCTGTCAAATCTGAATGACACCCTTGCTAGGTAGAGTATTCTTGGTTGTAGGTTTTTCCCTTTCATCACTTTAAATATATTGTGCCACTTCCTTCTGGCCTGCAGGCTTTCTGCTGAAAAGTCAGCTGATAGCTTTATGGAAATTCCTTCATGCATAATGTGTTGCTTTCCCCTTGTTGCTTTTAATATTCTCTCTTTATCTTTAATTTTTGCCATTTTAATTACATTATGTCTTGATGTGGTTTTCTTTGCATTGGTCTTGTTTGGGACTCCCTGTGCTTCCTGTACTTGGATGTCTGCTTCCTTTCCCAGGTTAGGGAAGTTTTCATCTGTTATATCTTCACATACGTTCTCTGCCCCTTCTCTCTCTTCTCCTTCTGGGACCCCATATTGCAAATGTTAGTGTACCTGACATTGTCTCAGAGGTCTCTTAAACTGTCTTCATTTTTAAGATTTTTTTTCTTTTCAACTTCAGTAATTTCCACTACTGTTTTCCAGCTCACTGGTCCACTCCTCTGTATCATTTAATCTACTGTTGATTCCTTCTAGTGCATTTTTCATTTCACTTACATTTGTCATCTCTATTTTGTTCTTTATGTTTTCTAACACTTTGGTTTTTTTTTAAAATATGCTATAAATATTTATTTAATGAATAAGTGGATGAATGATGTTGACCATAAATGTGCTTTGAGAAAAGAAATGTGCAGAAAATTTGAGGAGAGGGGAGTTGTTTCAGATATAGCATTTGTATCCAACCAATAAATAAATTGTCTACAAAACAAATAAGATAATTCTAATTTAAAAAACAGTGTTTTAATAAATAATCACTCCAAAAGTAGTCATTTGGAAAAATTTTCTGAGGCTAAAGTGTTCAGGTGATTCTTTGCCTTTTTGAGCTTAGAGGTGTTTGTTTTGTTTTAAACATTTTTTATTGACTTATAATCATTTTACAATGTTGTGTCAAATTCTAGTGTAGAGCACAATTTTTCAATTATACATGAACATATATATATTCATTGTCACATTCCTTTCTCTGTGAGCTACCATAAGATCTTGTATATATTTCCCTGTGCTATACAGTATAATCTTGTTTATCTATTCTACAATTTTGAAATCCCAGTCTCTTTC